ACCACATTAGATGTGTAAGCTAAACATGTGGATCCTTAAGCAGATCCCACGATAGCTCAAAAACGTTGCTCTCTAACTAGAAAAGTAAATGATGCCAGCATTTGCATTGAATGATGCACACATCATTTTATTGATTATTGCAAAGTTCATTGTGAGAGTACAATAAATTTCAGAAAATATACTGCCACACATGGATGCCCCAAGGGCAAATTAAAACAAAAATTAAGAAATAAGCCTCATGCATCACAAATCCTACTAGTAGGCCACCAACCATATCAACTGAACAAATGTTGAGAGACCATCTTCCACTGGTTGCACCCAGAGACTGTCGACACTCACTCTTCCTCCTGGCAAAGTGATGACCACATATGGATCCAGCTGATAGCTTTGAAGATAACCTGCAATAAAATCACAAATTCTATTCTGTTAAAAATACAAAAAATACAATTGTTTCAAGTGGCCTAAAGTAAAGAGCAAATCCCCAGAAAGATATGAGACTCCCAAAGTAAAGCCCAAATTCCCACATAGATCCGAGGCTTCAACTGAGGATGCACCCCAACTAACCAGTTTTCGAACATATTTATACTACTAGTGGGTGGAGATAGATTAACAATTATTGGATAGATGGACACAACAGTTTGGCAAGGGGACAGTGAAGGAAAGCAACACTTAATGCATCCTTGCAAATATGACCTTACGATTTGAATAATACATGCATATTTTTATTTTCAACGGGACTTTTGTCATTTTCCAAATATATTTGTGGTGGAAAGGTTACACATCATTGATGAGGTACAAATAAATGGATTTGACTGGGAAGGCACCTGAATTAGTCAACTTCCAAAGAAATGTGTTTGATTCACGTCAAAGGTTGACGTCAACCTTTCAAAAAGATTTAGCCAGTTGTTCATTTATCCCCGATTAGTGGTCTTCAAAAGACAACATTAAACGTTTTTTCTCGCGTAACTGAGGTAACATAGACATCTTTCGTTGTATAGTATGATAGAGGCGCCGGTATTGCATCCCTAGCCATTTATCTTACGAGGAGCCTAATAGTTAGGCCATTAACTACCACATATGTCCCTTTATGGAAAAGGTAATTTTTGACCCATGAGGCCTTTTAAAAAAGGCGAGTCTGTTGGTTTCGCATGAACCTCAGAGAGGGTTCTAGAATGAATGTACTTATTCCTAAGTAATTTTACTCCAACCACGTCATCAGTAAGTATCTTGTATAGCCATGTGCTCCACGTATACTTATTTTTAATCTCAAGGTCTTTCACCCCCTAGATCTCTTTGGTATTTAGAAATAAAAATTACATCCACCTCATTAGATGATATCTATGCTTAAGTTCATTAAACTGGTAGAAAAACTTGAATGTGTAGTAATTCATTGTTTTCTTTGCCACCTTAAGTATTTAGAAGAAAGATGACATGAGCATAGTTAATTTGTGAGAACAACATTGATTAGAGTGAACATTGCCCCATAAGACATAAGCTTACCAATGCAACAACCCAACTTTTTGTCAAAGCGGTCCTCAATTATAGAAATGCATTGGGTTGCCAAGGTATCTTAAAGGGAAAGGGCTAGACTCATAACCAAATATTTGTTTGTACTGATTCTCTTCTTCTTTGGCTTTTCCAAAGCATAAGAGATCACTCTTATAGAAGTTAATCTTATGAGCAGATAGTTGCTCAAATAAACAAAGAATAAGTTTCATTTTTCCTTTCCGGTGTCATGTTCCATGGAGATAATGGCCTCATCGACATACTGAAGTATCGAAACCCCACCATCAAATAGATAAGAAATTAATCCTGTAACATGACCCGCTTCCTTGGTTCGGCTAATGAAAACTGCTAGAAGATCTGTAACAATGTTGAAAAGAATAGGCGACAGAGGATCTCCCTGTCTCAACCCCTTTCGTGCTTGGAAATTGTGACCAATGTCATTGTTTACCTTGTTACCCACGTTGCTCCCGTGAAAATGAGTCAAACCATTGACACTATTTTGTCGAGAAGCCTTTCATGCACATGCATTGATGCAATAATGGCTAGTTAACTTTGGCCTAGGCCTTCTAAAAATCGACCTTCAAGATAACTTCATCTTGTTTTTTTGAGTGCAACTCATGAATTGTTCCATGTAAGACAACAACCTCCTCAATGATGTGTCCCCTGGTTTAAACACCGCATGCGTCGATCTCATGATCACCGTTACACAAGTAGTTGTCACTTTGGTGAATACTTTAAAACCGACAGTTAGAAGATAAATTGGACAAAATTGTTGAATCCAAATAGCCCATTCCTTCGTAGGAAGAAGGGTAATGATGCCAAATTTTAACTTAGACAAAGCCAAATCCTCATTATATAACTCAACAAAAATAGACATAAAGTCTCCTTTTACAACCGGCCCAAACTGCTGATAGAACACGCTGAAATCCCACTAGCCTCGTCGCCTTACTTTCTTCAATCTGTGAGATAGCATCCCATAATTTTTTGTCAATAAAAGGGGCGGTTAGGATGGCATTCTCCTCTATAGATAGTTGCGGGATGTCACCTTTGACATCCTCATCTAATTTAACATAATCAGAGACATGGGAACTAAAAAGAAGCTTATACAAATTAATAATGTAGGTCTTCAGTTGGTCTTCACCATCAATAGCTCCATCACCTTGCTCAAGCTGAATTTTTTTTTATGTTTTTTTAGAAAAGGAGGTGTGCCCCGGCCTCTGCATCAAGCGATGCATGCAATCATTTTTTATTATATTATTCAACGAGATTCGACAATACAAATACATAGATTAACCCAAAGCCACCTGCCTGGCAACCACTGTCGCTGCCCCTACAAACTTGATGATGTGCCCTGACCGTGCATCAACACACACCATCTAATCCGGTGGCCTCACCAAGCTGCCCGCTGACAAGCTGAGAATACCAACTGTTCTAGCAGATCATGTGTGTGCATTGCATGTGCACGCTCTAGAATCAGCCTCCATCATCTTTCACCCTCCCACCTTCAGGAGCAATCAACACATTCACCTTGCCAGGGCTTACTGCCGTCGTCGCTACCACGACGCCAAACAATGCCATCGCCCTACGCGCGTCCATCAAGTCACATCTTGGCAAGTTGGATCTTTTCTATGTTTATCATTGGCGATGAGATAGAAGTATTTGGTGTTGTTGTCATGTCGCACCTTGACAAGTTGAAGCCATTTGGTATCCTCATCCCGGATAAGCTTTGTAGGAAGATCATCCGCTTCTTTTTTAACATCACATTCTGCTTGATTAAGGGGAGCGCTCTCCGTGTTCACATCTAAGACGTCAATTAGAGCGATTAGCCTTTTTTTTCTCTTTTGCTTATACACTTAAAATTGTATCATCATTTTCATTGACCATTTGTCAGTCCATGGGTTTATTTTGCCATTTTTCTACAACTTCGTAGTGCAAAAACCAACCTAAACAATTAGATGAAAGCCTGGATACAAATGTCGGTATCAGCATGCATAAGCATACCTGGCGGCCCAAATCGTTACTCCTAGGTTATGTGGTACAAGTAGATTATCCTAGAGTAGTCAAACATGGCTGCTAGACACAGCGGGTGGTGTTGCCCAAAGTAAAAACTATGTTATCCTACGACTACGATTACGACCAAGCTTACTAGAGGAACTCGCTTAGATCCGCCAAACTTCCTTTCATTTGAGCTAAATCCTAAATCCCTGGGCGATGCCAAAAACAAATCAAATCTGCTTCCTCCCGCTTGAAACAAAAGAGAGCGAATAGCCGTCGGTTGCTCACCCGTCACCAACACAGCCCTCTGCCGCCAATTCGTCGAACACCCTGTCTGCCAGAGCCATGGCCGCGGCTCGGCAGGTGGAGGACGCCGTCATGGCGAGGCTCCGGGCCTGCGCCACCTTCCGCGACCTCCTCCGCGTCCACGCCCACGTCGTGCAGCTGTCCCTCTCGCAGAGCAGCTACATCGCCACCCAGATCGTCCAGCTCTGCAACGCCCACGGCCGCACCGCGCACGCCGCGCGGGTGTTCGCCCAGGTGCACGAGCCCAACCTACACCTGCACAACGCCATGATCAAGGCCTACGCCCAGAACCACCTGCACCGGGAGGCGGTCGCGGTGTACGTTCGCATGCTGAGGTGCCGCCCATTTCCGTCGACTGGTTGCCCCGGCGGCGACCGGTTCACGTACCCGTTCCTGCTCAAGGCTTGCGGCGGCCTGGCGGCCCTCGAACTGGGCAAGCAGGTGCACGCGCACGTGGTGAGGTCCGGGTGCGAGTGCAACGCCGTCGTGGAGAACTCCATGATCGAGATGTACACGCGCGCCGGCGATCTGTCGCTCGCGCGCAAGGTGTTCGACGGAATGCAGGAGAGGGATGCGGTCACTTGGAACACGGTTATATCGGCGCACGCGAGGCTGGGTCAGATGAGGAAAGCGAGGGCGTTATTCAACTCCATGCCTGAGAAGACCATCGTTTCCTGGACTGCAATGGTGTCCGGGTACACGGCAGCGGGGGACTTCTCGGGCGCCGTCGAGGCGTTCCGGTTGATGCAAATGGAAGGCTTTGAGCCGGACGACGTGAGCATCGTCGCGGTGTTGCCGGCGTGCGCCCAGCTCGGAGCCCTGGAGCTAGGCAGGTGGATATACGCCTACTGTAACAGGCACCGAATGCTGCGCAAGACATACGTATGCAATGCGCTGATGGAGATGTACGCGAAGTGCGGATGCATCGACCAAGCACTCCAGCTGTTCGACGGTATGGACGAGAAGGATGTCATCTCGTGGAGCACGATGATCAGCGGCCTTGCGGCGCATGGGAGAGCAAAGGAGGCGGTCCTGTTGTTCGTGGATATGGAGAGGGAGGGGAAGGTGAGGCCCAACGGCATCACATTTGTCGGGCTCCTGTCAGCCTGCTCCCACGCCGGGCTCCTGGACGAAGGGCTGGACTACTTCGACCGCATGAAGGACGCTTATGGCATCGAACCTGGCGTCGAGCACTATGGCTGCATCGTCGACCTCCTCGGTCGGTCAGGACAAATCGTGCGTGCTCTCAATCTCATACTGGACATGCCATTTCCTGCCGATGCGAAGATATGGGGCTCAATGCTCAGCGCATGCCGAAGCCACGGCGATGTCGACACGGCCGTGGTGGCTGCCGAGCGGCTCGTCGCGCTGGAACCAGACGACGTCGGCAACCTAGTCATGCTGGCCAACGTGTACGCCGCGGCGAGGCGGTGGAGCGAGGTCGCGAGCACGAGGAAGTCAATAAGGAGCAGGAGCATGAAGAAGACCCCGGGGTGCAGCCTGATCGAGGTGGACAACGTGGTGCAGGAGTTCGTCGCTGGAGAGGACCTGAAACCTGAATTTGGAGGCATTGTTGGCGTTCTGAACATCCTGGCCTCGCAGCTTGCAGAAGAGGGTGTAGATTCCATCGATTCAGATTGTTTTGTTGATGCAAATATGTCTGCTATTGTGTTCTGACCATTGCACATGTGTTGTTGTGAATGTGATTAGCAAAGTGAAGCAGATTAAGGGCTCCTTTGATTCCAAGTATTTTCATAGGCATTTTGGAGGATTAGAAATTTTAGGAATTTGCTCTCAAAAAAAAATTCGGATTTTTTTCAATGTTGGTTGTTTGATTCACAGGATTGAACCCTATAGAATTTTTTTCTAAGGATTTCTTTGTACTTTTTTTCATGGGATTTATAGCATCCACTCAAAACCTCTTCGAAAGAATTCTTTGTTTTTCCTATGATGCAACCAAACAATCAAAAATTCTGTAAGATTGAGATGAGCATGACATTCCCAGCCTATGTTTTCCTATTCCCGCGCTTTTAAAATCCCGTGAATAAAAGAAGCCCTAATTCAGATGAGCAATTTGGGAACTGTGATTTACTGCTTCTTTCGTAGGAAACACTCTGAAAATCTGTTGTTCAGATGTTAGAACTCCGCAAATCCTAAAGAAAAAAAAGGATAGAACACTGGAAGAATTTCTCCTATTGGGAGAAACAACTAAAAAATTGACGGAGGCGTGTAATGGCGGCCCTTAAGAAAAGGAAGCCCAAATGCTTGTGGTCCAGATAGATTGTGGTTCGCTTTCTTCATCACCTAGGTACTCATGGTATTGCATCAAACTTATATCCACCTCACAATGTTGTCAACATATATGGTCACCGGTTAGATGAAATTTTACATAAGTTTAGTACATTTATAAGGATGTGATCGTCTACTTTATTATGCTCGCCATGACTGTAGAGTTGACATGGTGTTTAACGGTTAAAATTCATCTCCTTTGCAGGCTATATACCACACTGTCTCCAGAAGTGGTCTTGTGTACAATGATTGGAACATCGGCTGATGTTTGTTGCGGTGTGTATGCATTTGGAGCAGACGGTTAGGATGTTTTCACCCAACATAGATGACGACATTGTCTACGGATAAGCTCCACACCCTTTACCCTAGCCTAGTTTCGGTCTAACATGACTTTATTGTGAGTATGTTACCGGTGCTTTTATGTTTCTTGTGTGTGTTTCAGTGTTAGTGGTATGCATCCTAATCATACAGAAGCCGGGTATATGCTTATGACATTGTATTTCCTAATGCTACATTTTGAATTAATAAAGTGTCCTTTGTTGAAAAGAAAAAGTATGCGTGACAATAGTACGAAACAAGCTAATGTGGCCTATTGTCCTCCTCTTTTGCACTTATTTTTTGAGATGTCCTCTTTTGCACTTGCATGTTTATGTCAACTTCTTTCCCCGCTTAATCATCGAGCACAAACTACACGTCAAATGAGAGATATATCAACTTCTTTCCCCACTATTGATACCCATATAGCAAAGCAATTGTGATGAAACATGGCATGATCTTAGCCAATAGTTTGGGATTTCATGCGGTACAAATTCAAGCAGACTCGATGGAGGTGATTAATGCATGTGCTGGCGAAGGCACAACTTGGAGTGAAACAACAACAATCTACTTTGAGTGTTTTAGCACAAAAGTGATGATTGGATCGGTGGACTTTCTGCATTGCATTAGGAAAGCCAATGAGGTAGCTCATGTTTTAGCTAAATTTGCATATGATAATAAACTTTCCTGTGATTGGGTCGATGAAACTCCTCACTTCCTGATTGCTACTCTCACAAACAATGTAACTATTCTACCAAATCAATAAAGTTGCCATGATGGTGTTCCATTAAAAGAATACTATGCAACAGAGCATATTTTTATCAATATGGTTCGATTCTAGTTTCTGTTACCCCAACCCCGCCCCCTCATATTTCTCGTACCTCACCTACTCACTGGGATTCCCTAACAAACTCCGTTTTTGAAAAAAAAGTTCATTAGGAAATCCTCAATTGCTTCAATTTAACACTAAGATAACCTTCCAGAACAAGTATAATAATTAACTCTACAATATGGAAACATCTTGCTCTCCAGCTTGCTTTTTTCTGGACATTCAACCTCCCCTCTGTGAATACCATTTTGTCTGTGCAAATAAATCCCTTACACAATTTTGGATGATGGTTTTGTCACATTTTCTTTCAAAAATAGGGGCATTGCCTAGGCCTCTGCTTCAATTGATGCACAACATGGTATTGTATGTAGTTTTGCCACATGGATGGTAAGGTGGAGTAGACTAGGAATTAATCCACAAACAAACCAATTTTGTTTTGCAATTCTGAGGGTAGAATTTTAGAAAAAAATGTAGCAAAAAAGTTGTGTCAATCAATTTTTATTTTTTGCAGAAAGATCTCGATCAACTATAAAAGTTTACCAGAAGTACAAAGCACCCCAAATATAATGAAAATTATCTCAAGGCTTTGTGACCACTGAACGACATTGTGCCACCAGAACGGGGCATGTTACAAGTCTTTCTTACAACAAAATAGACTTTATTAGCAAACGCCAAAATGAGTCTTAATAACATCCTACTTACTTAAGACTCAATATTGTTTTTTCCTTCTCCATTTTGTGTGTGTTCTGGAAACTACATGTTTACTAGTGACAGTTTCATTTGACTCAAAAGTTACTTAGGGATGATGTGCAATCACACAAATAAGCTTTTATCTTAAGCATGTTCATTGAGAAAGTAGCAACATGACAGCAAGGAAACAATGATGCACATATATAAGTTTGCTTGCGGGGAATGTGGCGGACATTGCTATAGGGTATACATGTGTTCATTGGCAGCCAAGACCAGTCCAGAAATATGTATTTTAGTAGAGAATGTGCCAAAGTTCTACACGTCCTTCCGTTGAGCAGGAACCAAGAAGAATTAACTAAAAAATCCCATGAAGGTTTTTTTCATCCGATGAAATAAACCCAACCAAATAAGCTAACAAATGCACACACACACACACACACACACACACACACACACACACACACACACACACACAATGAATAACTGTGTTCGCGCCATGTATACATTTATGCAGAAATTTAATCTAACATCATTTTTATT